GGGAGGATACTTTATAAAACAAGGTAACATTTTTTTTTATTTTTTTTTTATTTTTACACACATATTTTGGTTTATCTTCCTTCTACAATCATTATCTGAAAATTAATGACTCAACTTCAAAGTCACCCTGTATATTTTTATGCGTGCATCTTTTTAGAAAATGTTCCTGATAAATAACACGACAGACTCCTCTTGTTAGTTTTCTTCAAGAGGAAACTTAATTTCTCTGTTTTTGACTCATACTAATTTATTAATCATGCCGCCGAAAAGCAAAATTGGATAGAAAATAGGAGATGACTTATCAATTACTACCCAAGATTATGAGCAGCAAGAAAGACTTAAAAGATCGTGCTAGATTTAAGCCGAGCCAAGGAGAAATATGTCAGAGGTCACATTATGCCTCCCTTATCTGGCATGCAGTCACGCGTGTGAGCACGTGCAAAAACCGCCGTGATTAATGGTAATATGGCGGTCGAAAAACGAACGAGGCGCGTTAAACAGCGTCTTACCTAAAGTCCCAGGGAGACTAATAGGAACGTTTGACGTTATCTGGTCGGTGGGAATGCACGTCTTCGAATTTAAATACCCTCGGGGGCTTCCCAACTCCAGCGTTCTCCTCGATAAGGTGCCGGGAGCTCGAATATGACCGAAATAAAATATATGATTACCTGGAATAGTTCTCGGTCCGGAATGGGAATTTCTATTTTAGACGGAGTTCCACATAGTTAATAAACAGATACGAATAACAAAATCAAAAGGAGTCACGAACGCTACTTGGCGGTTGCTGGTGATGGTAGCGGGAGATAGCACGCTAGGTTAGGGAATGCGAATGGAATATTTTGGCAAATAGCGAGCTATAAATCTATGTACTATAGTTGTACTATTATAGTCCTACTCGAAATCTGAAACACGTAGATATATGATGTTTCTTGATACGAAGTACTATACGGAGGTACAGACGTCGTTCTACTTCTAAGGCGAATATTCTATATTAGTTCATACTACATTTTATTAAGTAATCAATATAAACTTTGAATACAGTTCCTTTTGGTGAGTTCTGCAAAACTTTATCTATTTATATTTTCGAAACTTCCGTATTTTCGAGTTGGAAATTCCAAACCCCTTAGTATCCATGACTCATTGTTATGTGTTATAGCAGTAGCAGTTTGCAGGGCAATATCAAAATTTTATTTGTGGTTAATCCGATCCAGAGGAGAAACCGTCTGGTTTCCAGGCTTGTCGCTCTATCACCAGCGCAGTGCAAAGAAAAAATATCAGCTAAATTCCTCAGAAGTGTTCAATTAAGGCGCTTCTAATCTCGTCTGTGGTGGCCATCAGCACTCAAATACTTCCTCATGATAATGCAACATCATTCCGGTAACTGGTGTTGTCAGCAGATATCCGTTTTGTCGTATTCATCAGGTTTATGGCCAACAGAGCGAAATATTTTATGCTCGGAGGTCTCTATACAATCTCAGTTTAGAGAAGACATTACGTTGCCGCAAGATTAGTCATATGTGTCGTTTGCTTTGGCGTACGGAACGCGGCTTATAAAGTATAATCTTCATACAGTAAGTTTTCCATCTTACAGAAATTTGTCGTAATAGGGGCGATTTGATTATGGAAGCTGAATTGGAAGTTACCAAATACAACTAATTTCGTTTAAGGAGAAAAGAGGGTATCATACTTATATTTTGCTATGAAAAATCACGTCGACAGTACAACCACATGCAGCATACCTACACATACAGGGTGTTTCACTTTATTGTAGCATAACTTTAAGATTCGATAGAACTTTTAAAATTAATGCATATAGTCTATATGAACATGGCTCGAAAAATGCGTGTTTAAATTTACTTTCTAAAATAGTTTTTTTTAAATATTTCAACAATATTTGATGTATAACAATGAAAATTGCTATACAAGGGTTTTTTGGTACGACAAAACGAACCATGGGCATAGTTTTACTGTAGCCGCTAGAGGGCGCTCTCTACTGTACCTGTAGTGTATTAAAATGACCAAAAAATTTTTCTTAGTGCAATTTTTGCTTTTTATAAGGTAAAAAAACTGATTCTTCGCACTTTTCAACATAAAAAAGCTCTCTTGTGAATTTTCGTTATAGTTAGCCGTTTTTGAGATATTTCGATTTTTAAGGTTCGATGCATTTTTAATTATTTATGATAAAATAACGTTAAAAAGTCAGTATTTCGAAAATTTTTAGAAGTACGCTGTGCCTCCAAATATTTTTGAAATTGAAAGCAGAATAAGGTTAAACGTCAATTAGTTGACAGTTAGTTTTGTTGTCTTTTGAAACCTGAACCGTTTTTTTGCAATTGTGAATGCACGAAATTTAGTTTCTTTTACCTGTTTTTTTTTTTGTAAGTTTTATAAAAATGCCATTTTTATTCTCCAATCAAGAGTTAGCGGATATTCATTTTGTGTATGGCTTTGTAAATGGAAACGCAGCAGAAGCAGCCAGAGAATACGCACGAAGATTTCCAAACAGACGACATCCAACTCGCTCAGTATTTGTAAGAGAGTAGTATCGCCAAATAATTGAAAATGGTTTTGGAAATCTCCAAAGGGATCAAAACATAAATGTTCGTCAGCGCAGATTTACCCGTATGATTCTGCGTGAGTCTGATAGAGATCCGACCATAAGTGTTAGGAGAGTTTCTGGTGCCTTGGAAATTTCAGCAAGCCATGTTCACCGTGTTCTTAGGAATGACCATAGACGTCCTTACCATCTGCAACCTGTGCAAGGACTACAGCCAGGGGACGGAGAACGAAGAATCACATTTTGTCAGTGGATTCTTGATAGAACTGATAATAATAGGGGGTTTTTAAGTAACGTTTTATGAACCGATGAGTCATGCTTCACTAGACGTGGAGTGGTAAATTTTCATAATCAACATATTTGGTCGCATGAAAATCCGCATGCAGTTCGGAAAAGAAATTTTCAGCATGAATTTAGTGTGAACTTGTGGATTGGTATCTACCGTAATCGATTATTTGGACCCTACCTTTTGCCTGTAAGGTTAAATGCTGCGACCTTCTTGGAATTTTTAAAGGCTGAACATGCAAATATGTGGGATGATGTTATGTTAGATTTAAGAAGATTGGCCTGGTTCCAGCTTGATGGTTGTCCAGCTCATTATTCGAGAATAGTTAGAAACTGGCTGGACGAAAATTATCCAGAAAGATGGATCGGCCGTGCAGGACCAGTCGCCTGGCCTCCACGATTCCCTGACCTGAATCCATTAGATTTCTTTGTGTGGGGATTTCTAAAAGAAAAAGTATACCAGACTCCCGTAACCACAAGAGATATGCTAATAGACAGAATCGGGAATGCATGTGATGAAATAAGGCCTTATTTGAATAATGCTATACCGCGTACGATCATTCGTAGATGTGAATTGTGTATTGAACAATTGGGTTTACATTTCGAGCAACTATTTAGATTTTGTATGTTTGTCCTAACTATCCAATAGCATTTTAGTTGTAAATAATTAATTTAATTTGTTAAAAATAATATTGGAAAATTAAACAAATTAATATTCTGTTTATTTGGAGTTAGGAATTATTGCTGTGTTTAAAAACACAATCTAAGCGATAATCTTAATTACTTGTAATGCCCAAATGGAAAATGTTATATTATTAATATTATTTTCCCATAAATAATTGAATATGCATCGAACCTTAAAAATCGAAATATCTCAAAAACGGCTAACTATAACGAAAACTCACAGGAGAGCTTTTTTATGTTGAAAAGTGCGAAGAATCAGTAGAGAGTGCCCTCTAGCGGATACACTATACATCAAATATTGTTCGAAATATTTAAAAAAAAATATTTTAGAAAGTAAATTTAAACACCCTATATTTCGAAAGCCACGCATTTTTCGACCCATGTTTATATAGACTTTATGCATTAATTTTAAAAGTTCTATCGAATCTTAAAGTTATGCAACAATAAACTGAAACACCCTGTATATTGTAATAAATATTTTTACCACTCACTGATGGAAGACTTGAGAATTATACATTCCTATTATTATAGTTTTTGCGTATGTCCAACCAGAGGGAAGGATAGAGATATTCGGTTTTCTTCGATCTTCCCCTTCCCCTTTTACTTCCTACGCTACTAACGAGGGATTATTGCAATCGCGAATAATGATATATTATGTTTGTTGGAAACGAACCATGTCACTCACTGTTCATCGGACTATCTGTCGGTCTGTCCGCTAATGCTTGACCCTCTACAACTTGGAAAGTGGCAAGTAAAAGTGTAATCTGAGGAAGCGAAGATGGAGAGCGTGCAAAGTGACGCACGAAGTCACCAACAAGAGCCAAGCTATCAAGCCAAGTGGCGATAACCATCCGCGTGGTTGCAGTTTGGTGTCACCTTGAAAACTCGCGGTCTTCTGGCCATTATACTACAATGTGTAGGTTGGCTGTTGTTGGTGAGACCTGTATCCGAATGTATGTCTACTTTTGTAGTTGCATATGTTGCTGCTTGATGCAGCAGAAATATGTATTGCTCGGGTCACCTATCCTTTTTTTTCTGCTCGAATCCACTTTCCTTCTTTTTTCTGATTTTGCCCATTATTTTTTCTATCGATATCGGATATAGGTAGATATCAGAAGCTATTGTAATCATTTATTAAACGTTGTTGATAAGCAGCTCAACACCAAGGATCCGAAACATAATGTGTGAAACCGCTCATTGCTGCTGTCTGAGAACTTTGTGAAAAGCATTGATGGTTCGGAAAAACCTACAGAGTGGTAATCTGTGTATAAATTTAATTGCACTACAAGGAATATTGTAAAAGAAGCCGTTTCGTCCATAGAGTCAATCTACTTGACGATATTTTTTGGAATCAGCTTTGCCAGCCATACGGCCTTCACATGTCGACTGTTCTTCATTCTGCTAATGTGACCAAACCACGTCAAGTGATTCTGTTTAATCAGCTCCAAGACGATGGCCCTTTTTCTCTTATCAGTTAGCTCCTGATTCCGCTGAATCTTGGAACTTCATTATCTCTTTTTGGGTACTTCATCTCCATATCTTGTATTTTATGTTTTGGGATGAACCCATGACTCTGACCCAAACGGTAGATGGTCTTGAACTCAATCACCTCAGTAAGTATTGTGATCCATTTGTGGCCAGTCTGGAGGTGCATTACATTGTCAATTGTTCATTAACGATTCAATGCTGATGCAATATTAGTCTTTTAAGCACTCCTACAACTAATTTTCCTTATAAAATGGAATGGTATGATATACCTGTAACAACAGCGCGACAGAAGTAATCCGCTTATTATTATTTTTTTATTATAGTATTAGTATTTTCAATTTGTTTCTGGTAAAAATTAATATCACTCGAAAAATGCCAATTTCATCATTACTACCTATGTATAGATAAGATATTTAAAACCTATAAAAATTCCAGTAACTTCCATAAACTGAAACCCAACGCAAGTATCACAATCACAACCGTTTTCACAAACAATCAACGAAGGTAATGCTAACTGAACAAAATCATCACTAAATGCAAATTACAAATTATACAAATCTCGAATGAAACCCGGAACTTTTATGGACACCCTTATCACAGCCTATTTAGTAGTCATGAGTTCTGAAACAGTTGTTTACTGTTTTAAATGCTTTCTCATGTAGATGTCGCTTTCTAATTATCAACTTTTCGACGTAAATACGTATTTCTGTTTTGAATAGGGTGTATAAATAGGGTACATTATTGGAAACCCACCTCACGGAGGGTCAACAGATACAGAATAATAAAGCTCCTACTTAAAAGATCGGAAAACACAAGATGAAGGTATCATTCGACTTCTTTGAAATATATACCTTTTTTAAACAATTTCCACCTAAACCGGTTTTTAAAATGAGTCGAGAAGTAAACTCATCCAGTCTTATGGTGAGCTCATGCCGTTGCTCTTGATATCACGGAAACATTCGATCAGCTGTGGCATACTGCCTGAGCAAACTTCCATGCTATGGCCTCCCAGAGAAGCTTTGCAGATGGGTGGCAGACTTTCTCTCTGGTCGCAACATATCTGTCGTAATTGACGGTTTCGCCTCTTCATCCCACAACGACAACGCGGGTGTTCCCAAGGGATCGATCTTGGCTCCGCGACACTGTTCCTCTCTTCTCCTGCCGACTAATCCTATCCACAGTTTTGCTGATGACAGCATTCCTGCAGGAATCAGAGCGACAATCCAATCTCTGCCGGTGAGCTGGAAAAAAAAGGGCTAGCAGCGACTGTCCCTCTAACGAGAGACCTGAAGGTTATCACTGCTTGAGAACGCAACAATCTTGTACAGTTACATGCTTCCAAAACACAGTACTGTACCTTGACGTCTTCTACCGCTACACCAGTGGGCTTTGCTCCTGCTCTCCTCCATGACGCTGCCGCACGATGTACCTGCCAGACAGACCCGCCTGGCTTCCTGTCCCATCGTAACCACGAACTTCGTACATGCAGAACTGGCCCATAAGACCGCTATCTTGCCCTAGGGTGTCGAGATTGTGGAACAATCTACAAGAGGTTTTTCTCAGTTTCACTAACCTCACTTACTTCAAGAATTGTATTAACAAAGTTTATTTGGGATAGTCATAGAGCTGACGGTGTAATATTATTCTTTGAATTTTGGACAGACATGTTACTGCCCAACTAGCAAAGTAGTGCTATAAGCATTTGGTAAAGAACCGTTCAGCCATAAAAGCTCTCTATTGTTGAACACCAAAATGCTGGCATAATGTTGTGTGGAATGCAAATTTGTTTTCTGCGACATATTTGCTCTAAAATGGGGTGTTTAAAATATTCTTATAGCGTAGGTATACAACACCTTATAGGACAAATTTTTAACTGTTGCATAAACGTTTATACAACTACTTTATACGGCATATTTGCACGTTAGTCAAAATGGTTGTGTTGTGGCATCCATGGTAACGTTTATAAAACAAACCCGAGCCTTGTTGTTTTGCTGTGCAGATTTACTACTTTAGCTGACAAATTGCTCCCAACGGAAGCACAACTGTTGTTTAGTAACTGTTAAAGGCTGTACATATGCAACAATATTACAACTTTTGTAGTACAAAATTGCTGTGCTCGGCATAAATTTGTTGCTAAATATGTTGGTATACAACTTCACCATAACCTAACTTTCTGCTGTCATATTTTTGTTAAAATGCCATAACCAATTTTTAAGACAAACTACGCATGCATATTGGTTCAAAAGGTTTTATCAACTGTTCAAACAGAAGATATAGATCTGGTACATATTCTGTCTCGACTGTTGTATAACACCTGCTGACAACACCAAAATATTCTAATAAACTAAAGACAACATCGACGATGCCATGATTATACACAACCACCCGCCAAATTGGACCAACATTTATTCCTCTATTTAATATTAAATAATTATATTTCAGTTCGAAATTACAGATATGAAGTGATAAACATTAGTATAATTGTGTCTAAATATAGGATTTGTGGAAAATTTAACGCAGATAAGTTCAGTTTTCCATCTTAAAAATCTAGACATACTTTTGATCATCATTAAAATATGAATGAAATACGAAGCCCGTAGAAATTGCGTAACTACTTTGCACGAGAATCACGATATAATTTGCTGCGCAAGTAATTCAATAGCCCTATAGCACAGAGTAGAAGTAAGTTTATCATATACCTGTGTATGAAATTCACGATGGCAGATATTTAAGTAAACAAGATGACTGTAGTGTGTTAGTTATACGAGGGATATCTTTTAAGTTTTGCATATGGAAATAAAACAACACGGTAGGTAGTTTTAAATTACTTTATTGTTTTTCGAAGTATTCGCCACCAAGATTAATACACATCTGCATGCGCTCGAACCAATTTTCGAAGCACTTATTCCACTCGTTTGCTGGCAGATCCAAAACGGCATTTTTGAATACGTCAACTGCTTCTTCTGGTGACTGGAACCTTTGACAGTGGCGTAGCGTGCATTGGCGGGGCCCCGTATAAAAAATTGTTTGGGGGCCCTTATATTCTTTGGGGGTAAAGATTTTTCACAAAAGAAAAAAAATATTGTGAAAAGAAATATTTATTTATCATAACATAATTTAACCATTTTACAAATAAAAATCAAATTTTAAACATTCATTCTCCTTGCCTTTTTTTCGGCAAACTGATTTATTAAATCATTTATGGCTGATGATGATTTTAGTTTTTCTAAAGTTTCTACCTCTATGGACAATAGTGAGAGGTCTGACAGCCGTTCTTGTCCCATCGAAGTTCTTAAGTAATTTTTTATCAGTTTTAATTTTGAAAAACTTCTTTCAGCAGTTGCGGTTGTAACTGGAAGGGTCAAGAATAAAAAGCATGCTGTGATTACCTCGGGAAAACTAGATGCAAGACTATTGAATTTTACTAGCAATAATTCAATGAGTTCTTTAATGGAATAAATTTTTTGAATTTCAGATTTTAAACATGTTTTTAGAGCCTTTAATTGGTCACAAAGGTTAACTGAGATGTCTTTACTGTATTTAACGGACAGTTTTCCGGAAGCGATTAATATCTCTTCGTTTGAAGAAGATAGGAGTTTCTCCGGTTGTAATATTTCGAACATACTACTCAGATCGCAAAGGCTCTGAAATCTTTCTTTAGTTTGAGAAATTAATATATCTAAACAGCAATAGTATACATTGACTTTGAAATAGGATTCCGGGTCGGAAATTCTCTCATCTTGTGATAACTCATCAAAAAAACGCTTCGTTATCTTTCGCCTACTGTTTTTAAAAACAGTTGTTACCCCCCACTCTTTTGCTAAATCTTTGGACTCATTTAGCAAACTATTAAATGAAATCTGATTTCTTAATTGGCACAGTCTATTTAAAAGATTACTTAATAAAATACTAGATTTCTGTAAGTCATTATTTTCATGCTGTAGAGCTTTAGAAATAGGATTAATAATTTCAAATAGTGAAGAAAAAAATGTAACGAGCACTAAGAAATCATAACTCTCTAAAATATTAATTATATTTTTACATTCTTCACGTTCATCTTTTTTATTTGAAATTAAATTTAGTTGGTACAAAGTTTTCATGATTAGTAAAAAATTTTTCTTTACCGCTAATAAAGCGTCGTTCCTAGAAGACCATCTGGTTGGACATACCTTTTTAAGGGTAATCAAATATTTTTCAGACGGATCGTCACTTAGCATAGCCCAGCGTTTTATACTATTGCCAAAAAAAGTATATACTTTTTCTAAATTATCGAAAAAAGTCGATATTTCACGAACGTGTCTCGCAGCATCGTTTAAAACTAAGTTTAAAGCGTGCGCAGCACAATGAACATAATCGGCATTTGGAGCATGCTCTTTTATTAGGGTTTGTAATCCTCCATAAATACCCGACATAACATTTGCTCCATCGTAACCCTGTCCTCTACATTTAGTCAAATCAATTCCATATTCTTTAGTCAAATTTAAAAAGGCAGTTTTCAGACCTGCAGCACTGCAATCGGTTACTGCTATAAATCCTAAAAAGGACTCACAGATTTTTATTTCTTTAGGCACATTATCATCATTTTCTGTAACCGAGATATATCGAAAAACTACAGAAAGTTGGTCAATTTTTGACAAGTCTTGTGTTGTATCCAGAATTATTGTCAGAAATGGAGCTTTTTTAATTTCTGAGATAATATTGTTCCTAACGGTGGTACCAAGCAAACTAATAATTTCGTTTTGAATCGTAGGGCTTAAATAATTTATTTCGCCTTTCGGTTTTAGAAGAAGTTCTTTTAAAGTTGCATCATAGTTAGATAGCAAACGTAAAATTGCCATAAAATTTCCAGAATCAGAATCATGCCCTCTCAAAGATAGATTACAAGATGCTAAAGTAATTATAACATTAATTATACGATGCAGTACATCTCTCCAGAATGTAATTTTACTATTGATTTCACTTTGCAATAGAGTATCGATGGTATTTCCTTGCAACCAATTATTATAAGAGAGTGAGGCATTCATATGCTGCTGTGACTTTTCATGGTCAAGTATAGTTTGCGTAAAATTGCTTCTAACCGAAACACCGTTAACCCAAGCAGAGGAGTACGATTTGTTTTGACGATCTGCTAATAACCAACAGAAGTGACAGTACGGTTTGTTTAAAACGTTAGAATAACATAACCATGGTCTTACAAGTTTTATGCCTGCCTGATTGAAATATGAATAATAATAGGCCGAAAAAGGTCGGTTACTTTCTGAATCTTTTGGAAATGGTCCTTGTGGTTTAAATGGACCCAATTTAAAAATTATTTTTCGTTCGCATTCAGATAAATTGTCACCAAAATTTCCTCTATCTGATGAAATTATATTACAATCTTCAAATATATCAGAATCGTTGACTTGGTGTTCTTCAATTTCTGGATGGACATCCTATGAAGTATGTGCTTGGCTTTCTTCTATTTCCGAATGGATATTTGACGAAGAACGTGCTTCAGAAGAATCTAAAAATAAACGAGTATTTGTTAAAAAATAAATACGAATGCTTTGATACTAAACTAAAAAGAGTTATATATAAATAAATAACTTTACTAAGGGTCACAGTTAGAGAGTGTTCAGTTCAGACGCACACAGACTCTACGCGGATTGTGCTCGTATTAGTAGATACAAAATCACCTGCAGCCCGTCCGTGCGTTACATTACACCTGCGTGCTATTTGAACGCAGCGCGTAGTGTAGTGGCCATACAAAACGAGAACAACCCGAAAGCGAGTCTGCACATCTGAAGTTCTCAACACGCAATTTACGATACGATACAGACTGATAGACAAACAACAAAACAAATTGATCTTATAGATAAGTTAGAGTTTTGGTTTTTTTTTGTTTCGAGGCACGGAACCCTAAAAACAAAATTCACCCTTCGCTACAGGTAAATAATAAACCAACCACGCGTATCTAACCACGCAGATCCACATTAGCGTCGTGTAAAATAGTACTTGTGTAAATTAGTAAGTACTTCGGTTTTTCGAAGAAGTAATTTTACAAATTGTCATTTATTTTTAAACCTTATCCGTTTTAAGATTTTTGCCAAACCAATTTCATGTAAAAGTTTAATTAGTAAGGAGTCTCCAATATCTTTTTTAGATTTTTGGACCAGTAGTTGTGAAAATCGAAGGGGGGGAGACCACTTTTTGTGACGGACAGATTGACAGGCCGAAATTAAAAGATTTCCTTGTTTATCACTACGGACCCCGAATAAATGGGTTGGGTAGTACTTACCTTTCCAATCTAAATCACTCACAGTATCTTGTCTATGAAAAAATGAAGAAATTTTGGGCACTTTTTTTATAACCTCTTCCCTTTTCCGTTTACTTTTTCTTTTCTCAGCACCGCTGGGATAATCTCTTTTCCTTTCACTCATTTCTTTTACAAATCGCTACTAATATTGTTAAACCACCAGAACAATATTGTTTGTACTGAATTACAATGTAATGCACAATTACATAAAACGCGTAAATAAACACTGCACTGCACTCCGTGGTTTAACATCCAATATAGAGTATGTACGTACACGTTCGCGATATCGATTTTATTATTGAGGGATTCCCCGCTGAGTTGCAGATGAAGTAAGTAAAACGGGGAAGTCCCACAGCCCGCCATAACGATGTACAGTGTTGCCAACTTTTGAACGCACGCTTAAGGCGGTATAAAAAGTAATTGCTTTATAGAATTTTGTCATTTGTAAAATAAAATAAATTAGGAAGTTTTTATTTCTTTTTCCTTACACACTTTGGGGGCCCCCGTGGCCCGGGGGCCCCGTATAATTGATACGGCAGATACGGCGGTAGCTACGCCCCTGACCTTTGACCACGCAGTCTGTTTTTAATTTTCGGGAAAGTAAAGAAATAGTTAGGACTTAGATCGGGACTATATGGAGGATGGTCCAATAATTCCACGTTTTCTTCCGTTAAATACTGCCTTGCTTTTTGGGTTGTGTGCGAGCTTGCATTGTCTTGGTTGAGGATGATTCTTCTTTCGGGGTTGATTTTTCGAAGCTCGTTGATGACTTTTGGCAAAGAAATGGTGGTATACCAATCCGCAGCAACAGTTCTTTGCTCATCACCACTAATAATGCTGTACACATTTTTTGAGTATGCGGAATTGAAACAGTCAAGCGTTTTTTGACACCAATTAACCCTGGCTGCTTTCTGCTCTTCGGTCAACAGGTGGGGGTATCCAACGAGAAACTAATTTTCTTACTCCTAATTCTTCATGTACATTTTTTTGAATTGAGGTCTTTGAGATCTTCAAGGACGCCCCAATCTCGCTATATGTCACATAGGTGACTGCCGTTTTTGGTGCACACACCCTGGGATCGTCGCTAAGACTCACCCTTCCACATTTGAATACTCCATACCAACTGGAAATTGTTGACCGATGTGGCGCTTCGTTGCCGAAAACAGACAGTAACTCAGCAAGGCATTTTTGTTGCGATAATTGTCTCTGAAAGTTGTAATAAATTATGGCGCGAAAATGTTCTCGGTTGAGTTCCATTTTTCTAATGACTTGGTGACACTTAAAGATTCACTGTAGTGAGAGCACCGCACGTATTGTTGTGAAACTTTGAATTTAAGTTTACTAAAGAGTGAGGTTAAGATTCAGTACTGACGTTCGATCCGCGCGGCCTACTATGTTTCTATATGCAAAACTTAAAAGACATCCCTCGTATATTCTTCACTTCGTCTATACAATACATAAGAAATAGTTTGGCTGTAATAAAGTAGAATCACGTAACAGTAATAGTTGTATAGTTGACAAAAACTAAATCTTGCACTGACGCAAATGTCCTATAGCGGCTGCAAGAGGCTTACACTTTTGTTGTATGACTGTTACCTGCAGCCCTTATACAACCTCTTAAATGAGTGAAGTGTCCTATTAGGTGTGCCCATTCCGCTTGTATAGCTGTTCTAAGAGGGTTTTGCCAATGTTCTTACAGTATACAATGCTATGTAAGGAATACTGTATAATCAATCTTGCAACTCTAATAGGAGTGATAACTGTTAGTTGGGTGTTATTCAAACCCTCAAAAGTGAGAGCTCCTTCATTTTAGATATTTCGGGATAACGACAAAAAATTGTCTTCAACATTCAAAAGAAATTAAACAAGAAATAAGTATCAGAGTGTGACTTATAATAAATCCTATTGATTATAGAGGGTGTGAGTATAGTTAAATACCTTCGTTTTCTATAAAGAAGCTATTGCGTATGAAGATGGTGCTACCAAAGGCAGTTCTGACTAGTATTTCAGGGAGTAGCAACCTGTGGACTTCGATGATGAATATTTTCACATTACCCATAAGGCTGTAGACGTTCTAACACTGGCCATCGTGGGGATACCACCGGGCGGATCTCTAATGCGTGGCCAGAATGCTACACATGCATAGGTGTTCTCTCGCTAGGGTCCGTGTGAAGTTCCCCTTACCCCTGTATTCCCGTAGAGCCCCACCGCATCACCGGGTATTTAAGCCCGCGTAGCGGCTCAATTATAGAAAACATACCATAGAATGGGAACCTTTAGCTCTCAAGTAGCGAGCACCCTGTAGACATTCTGTCTTCAGACGCTAACCACCTCATATCCGCGCAGCTTTGTGTAGCTTGTGAGCGCGCACACAGAGAAAAGCGATAAATAAGGTGCTAAATTGGAACCCCAGGACCAAATCAGGCCTTCTCTTGTAGTCTGAAAGGACTTGATGAAAACAAAGACGAATGGATACATTACGAAATTAATCTTTGAAACAAAGCACTCTCCTCGCGCCTTATTCATCAAAGGCGAACTCATTTATTTGCTGGGTGAAGTGAAGGCGGCGAGGAAGAGAGAAAGATGTAGAGCGAGAGCCTGGTAGACTAAGAAGAAGCTATTCGTTAAGTTCTCGTCTTACTCGTCTTTCTATACATCCAGTAAATATAATTTATAAAGGAATTGTACTCTGGAACAATACGGACGCTGGCTTATTGAATTTGGCTCTCCTTTCCTACAAAACTGAACTCCAGCCTCAAAACCTATACTATACAAAAAAGGCATAACAGAATGTTGCAGTCACTCCAGTTCCTCATCTACAGTATTGTCTATTAAAATAGATATAAAAACTGCTAACTTCTACCCATGTGATAAAAGCACCATTTTTTGTTTTGTCTCATTTTGTCAACGGAAATTTCAAGGGAAAGTAAAAAATGTTAATGCCCTGTTGCACCACTTTCCTCAAATCTGCTGCTTAGCAAGGTGACATATGGGTTGGAAGCGAGCTTGAACTAGGTTTCTGTAGCAAAAACAGTGGAATGCGCGCACCGCCGTTTGCTGCGTAAGGTGGCAGTAAATCGACGCGTACTTTGCACAGGTTCAGTCTTATCGTTTAATATAGTCGCGAACGGTAATATATAGCAGACCAGCTCAGTGCAGATCAGAGCAAGGAAACATCATTGTCGTTCATTTGTATGGAAGACTGCATATAGTCTCTGGTATAGTCAGAAATTACTACCGGCGGGAGTAAAGTAGCACATGAGGCACAATACGTACATCAACAAGGCTTTATAGCACATATAAAGGTGTGCTCACTATGTAGTCATACCTACATTTGATCTGTATCCTGTCAACGTAGAATATGAGGGTGGTCCCAGAAGTACCCTTCCTGACATAGAGACGGCGATAGTTGTTTGAAAAATATCATTGTATTGGAAAGTATGCAACCTGTAAAGCATATGTGTCAAGTTTGAAGATGCCACGTTGCTTAGTATTTGTTTGGCATCCATCAATACTGAACGTTTTCAGTGAATTTGTGAAAATGGAGAAAATTGGTCATCGTTATGTGGTACAATTCTGTTATTTCAAAGGCCTCGGCCCAACCAATATAAAAGCTGAACTGTATTCTACTCTGTGTGAGTCTGCTCCTTCGTTTTCAATAGTAAAATATTGGGTAGCAGAGTTTAAACGAGGCCGTATGAGCTGTCAAGACGAGCATCGCAGTGGTCGGCCGAAATGAGGTGACGACTCCGAAAATGGTGAAGAAAGTGCACAAAGCGGTACTGAATGATCGTCGTCTGAAAGTGCGCGAGCTAGGAGACATAGTAGGCATTTCAAAAAGTGCGGTTCATCGCATATTATCTGAAAATTTCGACATGAGAGAGGTGTGTGCAAGATGGGTGCCACGATTGCTCACAATCGAACAAAAACAGTGTCGTGAAGATGTTTCAATTGAGTGTTTAGCGAAGCTTCACAGCAACAAAGCAGAATTTTTGCGTCGTTTCATAACCATGGATGAAACATGGGTCCATCACTTCACACCCGAGGCAAAAGAATAAACAAAACAATGGACTCAAAAGGGACAACCGGCTCCAAAGAAGACGAAGACCGTCATCTGCAGGCAAGGTTATGACGTCGGTTTTTTGGGATGCGCGTGGGATAATTTTCATTGACTATCTTGAAAATAGTAAAACTATCAACGGCGAGTATTATGCGAACTTATGCAACGTTTGAGCGATGAAATCAAGCAAAAACGGCCGCATTTGGTTACGAAGAAAGTGTTGTTTCAGGAAAATGCACCAGCTCACAAATCCGTCATTGCAATGGCCAAAATTAACGAATTAAAGTTTGAATTGCTACCTCATGCACCCTATTCACCAGATTTAGCCCCCTCGGATTACGTCTGTCTCCAAACTTGAAAAGAAGGCTCAGTGGTCAAAGATTTTCAAACGATGAAGCAGTTATGTCGGCAGTTAATGGCTATTGTGAGGAGCACGACAGTTCTTAGTATAAAAAGGGTATCGAACTTACTGAGCATCGCTGGGAAAAGTGTATAGAGCTCAAAGGAGATTATGTTGAAAAATAAATACATTTTTTTACAAAATTTTTGTGTTTTCTTCATTGGGTCGGGTACTTCTGGGACCACCCTCGTATATACATTTCCACAAAAACTCACAGTTCTATGTTTTAATAGTCTGATTTGTGATGACTATGTGATGACGTTATCAATTTATTCGATTACAACCACACTATCTTGCAGAACGACGAAATTTGGATAATTATGTGAGAACTGATTCTACACAGTTAGTATCTATACTAAGTTTTACACTCTTCCTATAAATTACTGATAAAAACATCGAGCTGTGCAAACTGCTTTACATTCTAATTGACAAAATGCGGCTTAGACACATTTAGCTACACATAAATTTTTTGGGTATGAAAACATCAAATAAAGATGCTACACATTTTTAGCAGTTAACATAGGCTTTTATACTACGTCAAAAAAATAATCAGCACCTCTGAGAAAATTCAAACGACCAGGTTTGTTAAAGTTTGGAATCCTCCGAGGGTCCTGGGTCACATGTGACGTTGTATTCTAAGCTACGCCCTTGATTCTCTTATGAAATAAATTTAAGTTCAGAGCACACGTACACAGGAATTTTTCTAAAAATTCGTAGTAGAAAACCTTAATATACTGTAAAAATTTCAAGCCAAAGTTCCCATTTACAACTCCTGTTTTTTCAAGCGAATGGTAATTGGTAGACCCAGGTAACTTGGGACGCTGAATACGAATGTGATGATAAAGAATCGTAGAACAAGTTTTCGTCTCCAGTCAACTAAAGTCGCGTCTTTGTTACCTGGCTTGTGTGATCTCGAATGAATTTTAGATTCAACAAGGCTTGTTACCAAGTATCAGTTATGATAGTAGCCTCAAATACTTTTTATGATGAGTAAACACAACATACATATACGAAAACGTACATATACAGCATATACTCGTATACCACGAAATAATCATACAACTCTTTCTTCCATCATATACCACGTTTTGCGCGCTGTCAAACCAAAAACCTGTTTATTCGATCCCCTTAGGCCACACATTATACAATCCCTCGATTTGGAATGAAGTAACTGAAATGAACCAGTCCAAACCAGTTTCATAAAGTTTCTATTATTATCTATCCTAAAAATCAGCTTGCCCGCTACCCCTTACATGAACTTGAACTTTAACATGTATGTACCCATTTTGTATGAGCAGCTGCAGTGAAGAACCTGACAATCCAGGTGTGATATAAGTTAGCTTCTATTTGAAATTCTAGTGACGAAGGTTCATATCGCTTGATTAAATTGTTCACTATGCCCTTTGGTTGTTCAGTTAACCTAAATTTTGAAGATTTATTCCTTTCACTATTTTAA